AGAGGTTAGGCTAGGCTATTTTCTGGATCCCAACATTATAAAAAATGTGTATTGTGCTTCCCATTCTATGCATAGGGTGTATTAGTGCTTACAGTCCCATTTGATTGAATTTTAAAATGGAAGCAACTTTATTTTCTGAGCATCTGTTCTGGAGATTGGCTTGTTTTCATTGCAAGGAACTGGGCGGAAATTGTTTCTTTAGTTTTTTCCAAGGTGCAGAATATCTTTGCATCCACAGGAGTACAAAAAAATTGCATAAAGATAATTTATTGGCTTACAGTTTGGTGACCAGCCTTGACATAAAATATATGGCAGCATATGTACTGCCTTTTTTGCATTATGAGTTTGTCTAGAAATGTTATAGCTTAACTGAGCCACATATGGTGCAAAAAACCCCAAAATAAATTATCAGCGAGCATCAAAGCAATTTTATTCATTTGTTTTAAACGTGAGCCCTTCTCTCTGCTCTGTACTTCAGCTAAACTGATATTACTTACTAATAAATCAGGGTATTCTATGGTCAGATGAAATAGTTTAGGGAAACATACATTGTCAGAAAATCCTGACTCTATCATTGTTCTGAACAAAATCCAGACGTACTCAAGGCTTATAGAAAATTCCAGACTGAAGCATGCCAATTGCTTGGAATTTTTTATGTTGGGTAATTTTCGTTTTCTCTTCCACTGTTTTACGTTGAGTATTAAGAGGTCCTTTCCTGAGCAAAAAGAATTGTTGAATTGTTTGTATGGTTCCCCTTCTCCAGCACTAGTAGTAGTACAAGAACCCAGAGTGTCACTGAAGTGGTGTGTTGGGTTTCTTTAAGCATCAGGATTCACAGTCTTAAGAGATGCAGTATAAAAATGCTCCTTTTATTATTAGCCAGTTTTAAAACCTTCCATCTGAATGGTGGCTGCTAGCCAGAAGAATTTCATTTTGATTGGACCAGGAAGTCAAAATATAGAGTGCAAAGAAATTGTGTAAAAAAACAACTGTCAGAATTCAGCACTTGGCTGGATTAGATACAATTATTTCATTGACTATGAAAAAGAATAACCAAGAAAATTATGGCTTTTCATGTATTTGGAAATTTCATTTGTAACAATTGCAATGAAATAACTGCTGTGCTTTGTTAGTTAGTAACGTGACTTTGGGTTGCAAGAAAGAGCCTAGGATGCCAAATATTTGCCGTTTTCAGCTGTTGTGCAAAACATTTGGTTTCACTTGGACTGGCAGCAGCAAGCTGTTGAGGTCTTCTGTGAGTGATGGATTTACTGATTTGTCTAAATCTGATTATTAATGTGTTTCTAAATACATCCCACTTCACTTTCAGAAAGCATATCTGTTTTGTTACAACCTTGCTTTCACTACAGAATTATTTAGTGACTAGCGGTTTCTTTTTTGTGTGTGTCCAGACTCCAAATCTGTGGTCAGACAAGTACATCCTAGAAGTATGATCAGACTTTCAAGGGTCCTCTGACTCCAAGCTTCCCTTACTTTCTAAAATTCCTGTAGTTCCATCTTTCCACGCTTCCTTCAGTGTCGCCAACCATCAAGAATACAAAGATTTACATTCTGCTTTTACACTTCGGCCTTCTGTCTTTTATTTCACCTTGTAATGCATTTCATCTAAAGAATCTACCACTTTGAAGGACTCTATATGAAAATGGATTACTTTGCAAGTAAAATGGGTGTATAGGAAGTGTCTCCCTTACTGATTGACTGTCAGAGAGAGAAGACAGTCGCCTTTTTCCTTTTTGCAGCACACTTATCTCAGAAGACTGGCTGGTTACAGTCGCTCGTCGGGAGGAGGGATAACTGCTGAAAGATCGTGAGTCTTTAGGAGACACTCTCAGCAGGGATCCAAGGCAAGGAACATGTGTGGCAATGGCTGTTCTAATGGATGAGAGGAAGAACCAGTCAGATTTTTTCTGTTAGCACAAAAGTCATCATAAACAATGCATTTATTCAGGTAGATGAACTAATGCTGCATGGACTGGAAAATTACTGGGTATGAAAAAAGTTTTCCAGATATCCAGTATCTCATATACAATCATCCTACAAGATCACTTATTCACATTGTTCTGCAGAAATCAAATTTATTGCTTGGCAGGGATAAGGACATTAAAATATAACTCTTCAAACTGAAGGGAGCTATTAAAATGATGTTTTATCTGCTTTCAGCTTAATCAGGGTAAAAATAAAATTCTGTCCCTTTAAACCGAACCTCATAGAAGTACCACATAATGAATTATTTTAATCTTCCCCTAAGCAGCTATTCTAGCTTCCTCTTACATATCTGTTTGCTGGCTATCTGTACAAAATGTGCAGTTCTGTTACAGTATTTCTTTCCTCATATGCAGCGTAAGGAAACTCTTTCATCTACCTTTCCTTTTCCTTCCAGCCTTCCCCACTTAGATGTTCATGCCCACCTCTTCTCTATCCAGTTCCCCAGTAGGTCTTTGTAAAGGGTGAAACAACAGCATATATATGGCTTTACTGCTATCCGTCAGATCTCACAGCCTGCACCTGAACCTGCTATGGTAATGACCTTAGATGTTACAACTCAGAAGAAATACTATCTGAAATATGAAAGCTTAAAGAAAGGTGGAGAGGACACACAAAATAGGGAAGAGGGGGACTGACTTACTAAATTGCATCTCTTACTGGCCTAGTTAATGTAATAAACTATTTGCAACACTGACAAATGTCTGCATCTCTCATGAAGATAGTTAAGTTTACAGTGCTTTCCTTGAGGTGGGTGTGTCTCTTATCATGTAATCTGTAGGTACAGATCGATATCCATAAACACCTCTAGCTCCCATCTGCATGGTAATTTGTTCCAAATACAAATTCCACTGACATTTATATGGCATTAAGAAGTTTTCTTGGAGAGGGCAAAGCTGTCTTTCAGAAGTAAAATGAGCAGGTGAAGCAGAGTTCAGGTGCTACTCCTAAAAATGGGAAAGTAACTGTCTGATTTGCTTTGCTATATTGAACATAGCTTATAAGAGTAAACTTACCTGTATTTGGGGTGAGTGATGGCATAAATGATGGGGTTATGGATGACAGAAGCTTTGGCAATCACAGCTGGTATGGAGTTCATGAAGGGTGTTAGGACGTGGGAATACCTAGAGTAATGCAAATGCATTATATATTTAGTATTGAGTTCTGTGTAGTCTATGCAGTTATACACTGACAGGACAATGCTTTATTAGTGTTCCAGAGGGAGTAAAAGGGGGTGTTCTGAACCCAAACAGTGAGAGAACAATTTTTACATCCTTTGCCAGTAAAGATCAACACCAGCCTAACTGCATTTCTGACAGACATTATTTTCTTGGGGCTTCTCTTGCAGAACTTCACTGCTAGGACTCAGGATGGTGGTAATTCCCGTGTGTTTACCCTAGGGACAAAGTCAGCCTTCAATAAGTGAATGTGCATTTATCAGAGTATCTCTCTGTTCCAAACTCAGCAGATATACTTGCTGAGTCATATGTCGCTAAACAGGTGTGCAGAATGAGGCATTACAGGGAAATATAACTAATAAATCTATTTTCCTGTTCAAACTTTATTTGTTGACTGTTCTGAACTAAACAGTGAAGGGAAAGTATTTTCAGGTGTCATATGTTACGCTCATGTGTTGCTGTGACTGTGCATATATGCAGGTGATGTGACTCTAAAGAATAAAAGAATTGTGATTGATGTCTATCTGCCATGCTGCTATCAGCCACTTAATATTTGAAGATAGCTTGAAGTAGCCCATAAGGTCTTGGTCAGAAGAAACTCAATAGAACAGCTCAGACCGAAATAACAATAACACTCATAGGCAGTTTCTACCAGGCAAATTCCCATGGAGATGCATAGAGGCTACGCAGACCTCTTCCTGTGTTGGTAGAAAGAGTTCTAAGTGAAATCGCCCAATAAGTTAGTCTTTCCTCCAAAGGGTAACATCCTTTCTCTATCACTGCTCTTCTTCCTGAGAAGACAGTCTAAGCTCCATCTTTCAATTAGCCTTATATTCCTGTGATATTATGGGGGAAACCAGGTTTTCATCTCTATCCTTTCTCAGAAGAAGGTCTGTCATGTGAGCGCTGCAAACAAACAACAGAGAGGATTGCATAAGTAGGCGGCAGCTCATCTTCCTGGTGAGGAAATTTTTCATCATACTATGGGAATATTTGTGCTCTGTGGTGAGGTGGAAGTGGTTTGCCAGTGGTAATGCTGGAATCCTTTTGTCAGGTGTCTGAGTGTTGAGATGCTATTTGACTTCTAATATAAGATTTTTCTCTGATAAGCATGTTCTCTATATACAATTTTTAACATGGTTTTTCCTCATCATACTTCTAAAGCATTGCTTAGAGGTGTAATTCTTTGCAGGTTCTGGAGAATATACAACAGTATGACCTTGCTGGGATGGAGTTTTTGACCCTGAGATGGGAGATAGTGCTCTGGTAAGACTGACGGAGAGTTCAGCTAACAGAAACAAACAGTGGCAAAGCCTTTTGTTTAAACCAGCCATTCCCAGAGAATACAACCTGTAGACCAGTAATATTAGTGAGCATGACTGTGTGCTAGCTCAGTATTCCCCATTCAAAATATTTTCTAAAGGAATTAAGGTTCTTCCTTCATTTCAGAAACAGAAGAAAAGCTGAATGAAACTGTGTTGCTCATCCGATGTCTTCATGAGCAAAATTTGCAAATGCTCATTTGTCACATGCTGTAGAGTCATAAAATTTTCCAGTGTTCAAATTTTTGTCAGTG